CCCTCTGTGCAACAGTCGCCAGCTGCCCCTCGCCCGTCACCCGCCTAAAGATCTTTGCGAATCGTTCGCAGTCTGCCTACTCACCCCAGTCCTCCACCTGGCAGCCAATCCCAACTCGACCGCAGGGTGGAGGTTACTGACCTTCCTCCCACGAATTCTTCTGCGCACCTCGTCAGCTCGCAAACCTGACTGGAGCGCGATGATGGGCCGCCTACTCCGTTTTCGTCAAGGATTCTGGTCTAGCCTGTATGAAGAAGCGGTGGAAGCCATCTCCCTCCCAGCCCAACAACGACACGTACCTGACACACAAGGCGTCCTTGCCAGAGCGGAGGGATTAGCCAAGCGTGGCAACCTCGCCAAGTCACTCATTAGCCAAGCGTGGCACTGTTCAATGCAGTGGAAAGGGCGGCGGTATTCGAGGGTCTCAAGAACGAGGCCCTGGAAAGTCTACTGCCCCTTGTCCGCCTCTCCTACGGGACTCCCTCCGCGCTCCACCTCGACCACGAATTCGGTGTGGCTCCACTGCTTAGCGCTAGAGGCGTCCGCTAGGGAGCCCCCCTAGGCCCTTTGCTCTTCGCAGCAAGCATCCACCCATGCTTAACCGCTACGGCTTTAGCCCACCCACGGGTCGTCATTCTCGCCTACGCCGACGACATAACGCTGCTAGGCGAGGTCGAAGCATGCACCGAGGCCTTCACGCACCTTATAGCCGCGCTGCTCCACATAGGCCTCGAGCACAACCTAGGGAAATGCGAAGCTTGGTCCATAGCTGCCATCGACCCCTCCACCCTCCCACCGAGCTTCCCTATCGCGGCAGATGGTTTGCGGGTATTGGGGAGCCCAATCGGGACCCCAGCCGGTTGCGCCTCCAGAGTGAGGGAAAGACTAGCGGCAGCAGCCGAACCCTTGCCGCTCCTGGCCCAGATGGACCCCCAATTGTGCCTGCTCCTTCTTATCCGCTGTGTGGGCCGGCGAGCCTCCTTTTTAGCCAGGACAACTCCCCTAGCGGTGCTACCTGAGGATGAGTGGTCGGCATGGGGGGAGCAGTTACTACCGAGGAGTGACGCGGAGCAGAGGAGAATTTGGAGGCAGGCGGCGCTGCCTGTTACACTGGGTGGGCTGGGCATCACCAACCCCACAGTCGAAGGAAGTTACGCTTACCTTGCGTCGGTGGTGGGCACCCGCCACCTACTGCACACCCTGGCCGACGCATTACACTCCGATTTGGCAGCCCTCCTCCCCCTAATGGACCCCACATCCGGCTCCGCGCACGCCCTGCTGGCACGCCTCGCTGCAGCAGATGTAGTCGGTGCTCGACCTGGGCGCGGGTGATTGGCTGCTGGCGATACCCATAATACCCTCGCTCAGAATGGGACCCCCCCAGATCTCTTCCGCCGCTGCCTTCCGCCTAGGCCTCCCCCTACCTGTCCCCAGGTGCTGTGACTGCCGTTACCGCACGACGTTCCCGGACGACCGCCTCCCAAACCATCTCATGCGCTGCAAGAAAGGGGGAGGAAGGATTGCTACTCACCATGCACTCCGGGATAAGATAGCCCTGATAGCAGCAGAGGCGAGCTTCACGGTGCACAAAGAAACTTACGTGTATTCTCTCGTTGAAAACCTGAAGGCGGATGTCACCATCCGTCATCCCCTGACGGGAGAAGTTTGGATGTGCGACGTGACAGTGACGGACCCCGTATCCCACCAGGACAAGCATTGCAACAAAGCCCCTAGGTGGGCGGCAAGGGCAGCTGCGGACAAGAAGGAGCAGAAATACTCGCGCCGGAACGCGTGGGTGGGCTTCCACGCCCTGGCGGTGGAGACCTATGGGTACCCCCTCGCCCGAGGTGATGGCGTTTTTGTAGCAATGTGCAGAGTTAGCGGCCAAGCTGAGATTCAACGTCGCTCCCTCCTCCTACGAGGCCGCCAAGCTGCTGATGGAATACTGCCAGCGCTGGAGCGTATGCCTCCAACGAGCACAGACCAACGCCCTCCGCTGCAAGACGAACGAGGCCCTGGCAGCGGACGAGCTGGGCATGCGGGGGCCCTTTGCCCCCCTTAGCGAGGGCCAGCTGCACCAGCTGATCGAGCCCCCGTTCGACCACTAGGGTCGGACAAAGGGGGCAAGAGTGGGTAGGGGTATGTATGGTAGGTAGAATTCTGGTTAGGCTGCCTGTTTGCTTGTGTTTTGCATCTTCATTTGTAAACCGCACTGATTAATGCAAGGGCCATTCAGAGAGAGAGAGAGAGAGAGAGAGAGAGAGAGAGAGAGAGAGAGAGAGAGAGAGAGAGAGAGAGAGAGAGAGAGAGAGAGAGAGGTGGTCGGTTGCACTGCAGAGGGCCCAATCCGTGGGACTCATGATCAAGTTAGGAGAGGCGGCAGCTGCAGAGAACCCGCCTGTAGGAGGGATAGGGCAAGAATTGTACCTAGGGGACTGCTTTACCGTCCTAGAGCCTCTTCTGGAGCTCTAGGTGACTTAGTGGGGTTGGATAGTCTAGGCGACCTTGCATGTTAGTACCTGCTGCCTCTCATTGCATGTGTGTACCCTTCTGGCTTATCAATATACGGACCATTAGAGAGAGAGAGAGAGAGCACAAGGCATTACCTGGGGCCAGCCGAGGACTAGCCAGGCAATGCCGATGCTGGCGCCGTGGATCCCGACGGGAAGACCACAACAGGCTGGCCGAGGCGAGCAGAACGCCGGTGCCAGGGGTGGAGCAACGGCTCGCGGAGCGAGAGGAGGAGGGCGAGGGGCCAGAGGGGGGAGAGGCGGAAGAGGTCCGATTGTTGGCGGAAGGGAGGCGCTCGTGAGAACGGGAACGTGGCGGGAGCGCCACGAGCGACCAGAGCAGGCGGAGCCAGCAACGAATCAGAATGAGGAGAATGATGTCGACTTCGATGAGGGGACGGATTTGTAGCTGAATCAGCGGAGCCATCGGAGGAAATCTCGTTGGAGGACGAGGAGGATGTGCGAATGACGGGAGGGGCTGGGGGACGAAGGAGAACCCAGAATAACAGGATAAACCGCCAGGTCGATAACCCTCAGGAGATGAGAATTAGGGACGACGAGGCGAGTGGAGAGAGGAGATACTCTCGGGTGGTGAGAGAGAACGGGGACGCACCAAATGAGGGACAGAATGACTCAGGGGCTCGTTCACCGTCTGACCTGGCGGATGATTCTGCCATCTAGGAGCTGGCAGCCACGTGGGACAAATACCCACTGCAGAAAGCGGACCAACCCTTTTTGGTACGCAGGATGCCGCCCGATGTCTTGGAAAGCTACACGCTCTGCCTTCTGGCTCCGCTCATCCGACTCTCGAAATATCCGGACTGTCCAGGTGCATGGGCTATCCTACAGTACCTACCGAGGCTGACGCTACGTCCGGCACTTGAACCTGTTGAAGGGAGCCGGTGGACAGCAATTCAACTGCGTCTGCACCAGTTCCAACTCGGCAGATGGCAGCCTCTGTATACTGACGCGTGTGTCATCCCCGACAATGAGAGACCGATACGACACCAACCTGATGAGGCGGGTTTATGTGCAAGGGCGGTGGGGTTGATACGGAAAGGAAATATCTCCAAGGCGGTGGCAGCGTTACGAACTACACCGCTCGCTGAAGCCACTGCGGCGACTTTGACTGCCCTCCAAGCGAAACACCCCGAAGCTGAAACATCGCTGCCAGGCTGGTTACCGGGTACAATCGCTCAACCCTCACAGTGTCAGCGGACGAACTTCGCGAAATTCTCAAAAGATGCCCGAATGGGGTTGGAGCCGGCCCATCTGGGACATGCTTCGAACACCTCAAGGATCCGGCACTGGCAAATGGGGAGGTGCTCATTCTACTCGCGAAAGTAGTGACTTACCTTTTGAGCACGTTCCAACCGCACACGACACGCGACCTACTGCTGCCTTCACGGCTAATCGCGCTAGAAAAACCAGGAGGAGGCGTCCGCCCCATCGCGATAGGGGAAGCCATACTCCGAGTCGTGGCTAAGGCAGCGCTGCGGGGTTTAGCGGAAAGCATCAAACATTTCTTCTTAACGGTACAGTTCGGTGTGGCGATACCGGGAGGCGCGGAATGTATCATACACTCCGTCAGATCGCTACTAAGAGACGACGATACGCGAGTAGCGCTACAGAAAATGCCATGAAAAATGCCTTCAACAGTGTCGAACGTGCGGCTTTCTTCAACGCTCTCCCGCAGTCCAGTTTGCTGCAGCTCATGCCCTTGGTCATGACGCTCTATGGTGCACCATCGCCTCTCTTGGTGGACGAGCGTTTAGGTGTGAACCATATCCTCTCGTCACGTGGTGTGCGCCAAGGGGACCCGCTTGGGCCACTACTCTTCGCGGCAGCAATTCAACCGTGCCTGCTAAGCACAGCAACCCTCTTACCGGAAGTCGCGATAGTAGCCTACGCTGACGACATCACGATAGTGGGGCCAAAAGGGGCTTGCTACGAGGCTTTTGGGGCTTTAACTAGGGAGCTGGCCGCGCTCGGCCTGCGATGCAACATCGCAAAATCGTCGGCAGGGGGCAAACGCTCGCGGACGACGATGGCACGGCACCTCCTATCGGCCCGCAGAAGACCGAGGACGGGATTCGGGTTCTTGGCAGCCCAGTAGGCTCGCCTGCATTCTGCACCGCCCAAGCACAGACAAGGCTAGATGAGGCGTCGGCCCCATTACCCCTGGTAGTGCAGCTCCACCCGCAGAGTGCACTACTCATCCTCACGAGGAGCATATCCCGCCGAATCTCCTACCTACTGCGGATGACACCAGCGGAAGTCTTGGAGAGGGAGGGGTGGAGAGGCTGGAGTGAAGGTCTGATGGCAGCGGCACTAACACCGGCGAAGCTTTGGGTCCCTCCAAACGAGCTGGAGAGGAGCCTGTTGTGGCGCCAGGGGACTTTACCGGTCAGACTGGGGGGTTTGGTGATCATTGACCCCGTCTCAGAGGCACCTGCCGCCTGCATCGCCTCGGTCACGGCGACGCGGCAGATGCTACGGCAGATGAACCTACCTGAGGCCTACCTCCTGAGCAGGGCGGCCGAGCTGCTCAACCATGAGTGGACCCCGGACCCACCCGGGGTCAACCCCCTGACAACTCTGGAAGCTATGCTACCAATAGCTGCACGTGCGGCACTGCACACCTACAGGGAGCAGCCGGCGGGGAAGGGGAACCTTCAACTGACCCTGTCACGCCACATCAATGAGACACGGGCAGCGGAGCTGCTAGCTGACACGATCGAGGACCGCCCAGGGAAGGACTGTGGGCATGCAGTACGGCTCATCAGTTTGCAAGGGGTGGGAGCGGGGGACTGGCTTCATGCCATCCCAACGAGATCTGACCTTACATTTGCCCCTGGTCAGTTCTCGCTGGCTCTTGGCTTCCGCCTCGGTATGGCCCTTCCAGTTACAGTTAACTGCCCGTGCAAGCGTGACAACACGGCAATCACAGACACAAGTCTAGCGAACCACCTACTGCGGTGTGGGTACGGGGGAGATGTCGTCCGCACACACAATGCTCTGGTGTACGCTCTGCTCCGGATGGCGAAGGAGGCCGACTTCACTGTTTTCCATGAAACCACTGCCTTCTCACCACCGGTGATCAGGAAGAGCGATCTTGCTATTCGTGACAAGGAGTCTAATGAGACATGGGTCACCAACGTGACGGTGACTGATCTTGTGCTGCAGTGCCGCAACAAACGTGCCCGGAAGCCTCCTGGATGGGCGGCTAGGGAAGCCTCGGAGCGGAAACACAGGATCTATGAGGGGCGGCCTGATTATGTGGGCTTCTTTGGGTTGGCAGTGGAGACGTATGGGGCCCTAGCTACAGATACACAGCAGTTTATCCGCCTGCTAGCATCCTCAATGGCAAAACGGAGGTTCCGCCAGGGAAGGCTCACCACCACCACTGCACGGCTCACCGCCCACTACAGGCAGCGCTTCAGTGTCATGCTCCAGCGCTCACAGGCGACGTCATTCCTGAACAAGTCTAACATAGGCGACGTGGCAGCCTTCTCACAGACGGCTAGGGACCCTTGGGAACCCAGCCTAGGGGACCTCTGGCAGGTTCTCGAGGATGAGATGGAAGGGGTGTTGGGTCAGTAAGCAGGACAGTTGCAGGCTAGGTGTCTAGCTGAGTGTTAGCCACCTGCATTGCGGATCTTGTTTTGCTTTGTTTATCTTGCCTCACCTTTTCTGCGTGGCCTGGCCTTGCTCAGTTTGGAGCTGCCAAGTCTGCCTGCCTGGGGTGCCTTGCCTCTCCTCCCTTGCACTCAAGGTCCTGACCTGCTGGTACTGTCGGTCTGCTAGCCTGGCGTCCCTCTGGCTACTCGTTGCGCCTACCTTGGCTCTGCCTAGCATTACCGGCTGCTCATAGGACTAGGCCTGTACCGCACTCGTCCTTGCCATGCCCGTACCTTTATGAACCTATCAATGAAGGACTGCTTGAGAGAGAGAGAGAGAGAGAGAGAGAGAGAGAGAGAGAGAGAGAGAGAGAGAGAGAGAGAGAGAGAGAGAGAGAGAGAGAGAGAGAGAGAGAGATCCAGTTTGTAATGGTGGTGCAATTCCGTTTGGGCCTACCTTTCCCGACGCTGCACGTGTCTGACTGTTGCAAACAAGTCCGGATCATAGACAGGCGGCTGCCCAACCACCTGCTCCGTTGTGGAACAAGCAAAAGTAGGATAAACAGCCCTGTGGACAAGCGCAAAGCGGACTTGGTTTTCAAAAACAGGAACATGGGAGCCGTCTAGATTTGTGATGTCACAATCTCGGATCCCATCAGCAGCAGAGCCAAGCTGGCGCAGAAAGGCTTCGGGTGGGCAGCTCGGAAAGCAGCAGATAAGAAAATATATCACTACCGAAACAAAGCAAACTACGTTGGTTTCGTGGGAACATATGGCTGCTTGTGGGAAGAGGTACCAGTTTCTCTCAAGCTCGTGGCAAACACGGCAACTAGGAAACTGTTCAACACCGACTCGATTGCATACATGCCGTGGTAAAGCTGCTCCATCCGTTCCGCCAGCGATGGGCTGTAACACTGAAGCATGGTCAAGCCCTCAGCTACCAATAAAGTTGAACGGGGTCGTGCAGACCAAGAACCTTCCACTTGGGAGGCCTGAGGGCCTGATGTCAAACATTGTATATGTTTCTGTTTTGTAGGCTATAGTGGGTTAGCCTTAGGGTGTACATTTCTCTAGGGTTTCATACTTGTACTCCAAAATGTTTCTAGTTGATCACTTCTTGTTTCTAACATGGTATTAAGAGCTTAGGTCCTAGACCTAGGACTTACCTTAGGGCCCACCGTTAGAAGCGCCCTCAAGCGCCGTATCGACTTAGCGCCCTCGAGCGCCTCTCTCCTAGTGCGCCCTCGTGCGCCTCTCCTTCTCCTGCTGCCCGTGCGCAGCTCGCTAGTGCCGTGCGCGGTTTTTTTTTTTTTTTTTTTTTTTTTTTTTTTTTTTTTTTTTTTTTTTTTTTGCGCGCGTCGCCCGCTAGCAGCTCGCGCGCGGCCGTTTCTGCGCGCGCGCCGACCGTTAGCCGCCCATGCCGCCACGAGCAGCCCGCTAGCCGCCCGTCGACCGGCCCTCCTGGCCGCGCGTAGCCCGCGAGCAGCCCGCTAGCCGCCGCGTCGCCCGCATAAGCCGCCGCCCACGCGCGACTGCAGCCCACGCACAGCCACGGACCGCCCGCTACAGCCGCCCACGCGCAAGCCCACCGTCGCGCCGTGCCGCGTAGCCTAGTCCGAGCCACGCCGCGCCGCCCTGCCCGAGCCGCGCCGCCCGAGTCGCGCCGCCCAAATCGCGCCGTCCTGACCGAGCCGCGCCGCCCCACGTGCAGCAGCTACTACTACTGCTGCTACTGCTACTGCTACTGCTACTGCTGCTACTACTACTGCTACTGCTGCTACTGCTACTGATCCTGCTGCTACTGCTACTGCCACTATGGCCAGTCCCACTGTTCTCACTTTTGACGCTGAGGGCCGACCGATTAAGTTTGATGTCTGGCTAGATGATCTACACCTGTTCCTTCAGATCACTGCCAAGGACGACGTTTCCCTATATGACCACACGTCCGGCGCTGCCCCCGCACCTGCTGCTACTGCTGACAGTACTGCTCGCTCACAGTGGCAGACTCGTGACGCCCATGCTCGCCTAGCCGTTCGCAGTTACCTGCCGTTAGATGAGCGCGAGCACTTCGGCCAGCATAAGACCGCTAAGGAGCTGTACGACGCTGTAGTTGCACGCTACTCCTCCCCTGCTACTGCTGCGATAGGCCGTCTCTCACTGCCCTATCTCTTCCCGGATCTGTCTGCCTTTGCCACTGTAGCTGACCTTATCACTCACCTCCGTACTAGTGATCTCCGCTACCGTGCCGCGCTCCCCCCCGATTTCCTAGCCAAGAACCCACCCCCCGATGTACCTCACCCTCTACCTCCTAGTCACTCGCCTCCCTGACTCTCTTCGCGCTGTCAGGGACCACTTTCTCGCTCTCTCCCCCACAGACCTAACTGTCAACCTACTCGAGAAGGAACTCCTAGCAGCTGAGAAGAGCATTGTAGCTGTAGGTGCCTCTCGTGGCGACCCTCGCACTCCCTTCTTTGAGGGATGTTCCCCCTCCCCCCTTCTCCCCTCCATTGCATCTGCTGCTGCTGTCGACTTCCTAGGTGCTGAGGGGGTCGGAGCTGCGTACGCTCCCAGTGGGCGGCGCAAGGTCGGCAGGGGCAAGGGGGGCCGGGGTGGCGGAGGTGGCGGTGGTGGGAGTGGTGCTGGTGGTGGGGGGGGGCGGTGGCGGGGCCGGGGGTGGTGGAGGCAGCGGTGGTGGAGGTGGCGGGGGTGGTGGTGGCAGTGGTGGCGGCGGTGGAGCTGGTGGAGGGCGCGGTGGAGCGGTGCAGCGTGGCGGGCTCGGCGGTGGCCAGAGGCAGCAGCAGCAGCGTCCCAGCGAGACCCCGTCGCCCCAGCAGCTCCGTGAGTGGTACTCTCAGCGTGGGGGGTCTGGGGGTGGAGGTACCTGCACGTACGTTATTCGCACAGGTGACCGCACTGGCCAGACCTGTGGGAGGTTTCACACAGTGCAGCGCTGTTTCTTTCGCCTCGACGACGCCTGGTGCGAGCAGTTTCCTGACGCCTCTGAGCTGCCCCGCTGGGCTGATCTGCTCAAGAAGGGGATTGATATCTTTGCTCTTGATTATGATGCTATCCTTGCTGCTATGTATGCATTGACTATTAGTGTTGAGGGTAACTGTTACCTGAGTGTACCGCCCGACCCGGGTATTGGGACCAGTGAGGCTGCAGCTCTAGGTGCTAGTGCGTCTGCTGCTCTAGGTCCTGGTGAGGCTGCTGCCCTAGGTGCTAGTGCGTCTGCGTCTGCTGGTACCGCGCCTACTGAGGCACTGCACACCTTCACACTGGACTCAGGTGCTTCCCGCTGTTTCTTTCGCGACCGCACTGCCCTCGAGCAGCTTCCTAGACCGGTTGCTGTCTCCCTGGCTGACCCCTCAGGGGGTCCGGTCCTTGCGACCTCCACCACTGCCCTCCCTTGTCCTGCTGTCCCGTCTAGCACGCTGTCGGGCCTCTACCTCCCCTCGTTCTCTACGAACTTGGTGGCGGGTTCCGCGCTCCAGGACGCGGGTGTTCACCAGTTCACCCCTGCCTACGAGCGTGTGACACACTGCACGTGTGCCCAGACGGGTCGTCACCTGGCTACCTTCACTCGGCAGCCGGGGTCGGACTTGTACACACTGACCACTGAGTCCCCTCAGGTAGCTGCGTCTGCGTCTGCGTCAGGTCAGCTGTCGGCCCCCTGCTCGTATCGCTCCTTGTCGCACAGGACTGTCCTCTGGCACCACCGCCTTGGTCACCCGTCAGTGCAGCGCCTTCGCGGCATGCACTCCAGGTACCTTGTCTCTGGTCTTCCCAGGGTTCTCCCTCCCCTACCACCCTCGCCTGCTCCTCCCTGTCTTCCCTGTGTCGAGGGGCGGCAGCGTGCCGCTCCTCACTCTTCCTCGTTCCCTCCCACAGAGGCTCCCCTGCAGACTCTCCACCTGGACGTGTGGGGCCCCGCCCGCGTCCGGGGACAGGGCCACGAGCGGTACTTTCTGCTGGTCGTCGACGACTACACGCGCTACACCACGGTCTTCCCCTTGCGTACCAAGGGTGAGGTCCCTGATGTCTTGATCCCCTGGATCCGCGCTGCTCGTCTCCAGCTCCGCGACCGGTTCCAGTCGGACTTTCCTGTCCTACGTCTGCACTCTGACAGAGGTGGCGAGTTTTCCTCTGACCTCTTGGCAGCCTACTGTGCGGAGCACGGCATTCGCCAGACGTTCACTCCCCCAGCCTCTCCGCAGCAGAATGGGGTTGCTGAGCGCCGCATTGGTCTCATCATGGAGGTCGCTCGTACCTCCATGATCCATGCGGCTGCCCCCCATTTCCTGTGGCCGTTTGCAGTGCAGTACGCCGCGCATCAGCTCAACCTCTGGCCCCGTGTCTCTGTTCCGGAGACCTCGCCTACCCTGCGTTGGACGGGGGAGGTTGGCGATGCGTCGGTGTTCCGAGTCTGGGGATGTCGAGCCTTTGTCCGCAATACGTCCGCGGACAAGCTCTCCTCCCGTGCCGTTCTCTGTGTCTTCCTTGGCTTTGTCCCTAACGCGCCTGGCTGGCAGTTTTACCACCCCACCTCGCGCCGTGTCTTCGCCTCTCAGGACGTCACCTTTGACGAGTCGGTACCCTTTTACCGTCTCTTCCCCTACCGCACTGCCCCGCTCCCCCCCCCGCCGCTCTTCCTCACCCCAGGTGTCCCGTCGGTAGACCCCCTCCCTCCCCAGGGTGCTGCTCCCTCCGGTGTTTCCCAGTTAGACCCGGTCAAGCCTGTCGAGGTAGCTGTTGAATCTGGCCCTGTGCGAGGTGCTGAGCGTGCTGAGCTTGGTGGTGCTGGGTCTGGGGGTACTGAGACTGGGGGTGCTGAGCCTGGGGGTGCGGAGACTGGGGGTGCTGAGTCTGGGGGTGCGGAGACTGCGGGTGCTGAGCCTGGGGGTGCTGCGACTGGGGGTGCTGAGCCTCGAGGAGCTGAGGCTGGGGGTTCTGAGACTGGCCATACTGCGCCTGTTGGCGCTC